AAAAAACCAAAACAATGGAAAACACAATTGTGGCATAATATCAATCAATGTATCAGGCAATAGCAAATAAATCTCAGGAGATATGATTTGCTGAATAACCTCATTTCAATAGAACCTAAAATGGCATAACCTAGAGATTTTAGTCATTAGTATTTTAAGTGATGGTAGCTTTCAACCAAGACTCTACACCTCCCTTACCTACCTTAACTCTCTCCATGCACAAGCTATAAAATGCTAGCATTGACACCATGACATTGTCTCCTTGAACGTCACTTACTCCAGTTGCTGCCGACAAGACTCCTTTCCTAGACCCATCAACATGATTCAACCTCCAAGCCAAAAAATGGCCTGTCCAGCAGCCTCTCTCAAGTTTCTTATTTTTAAATATTTTTCTTACAAGTTCTTATTTTAAATCAATGACATTTTTTTCAAAAATTAAAATTCATTGGGAATCATGCTTCCTTTTCTCTTGCAAATGGTTATATGAAAACTATAAAAGTCATGGATTAATGATGCAGCCCCCATTATTTTAATAATTGGAAATTACACGGCGTAACTGCCATTAGAACAGCACTGGTAAGTGGTGGCCTCCAAAGTCATAACATACTGATTTTCATCAGAAAGCCAGAATTCAGCCACTCTGCTTCATTCTTCTCTCATCTTCAATCTCCAAGCCAGATCTATAGTTTAAAATTACCATAGACCGAGCATAGATCTTGAAGATTATAGAAGTTGGAAGGACAGAAATCCTAGGGGGTTGCTCTGACACTTTGGTTTCTTGATAACATTATGTTTGTTAGTGAAGGCCTTCATGGCTTTCAAGCAAAGCAACAAGGGTCAACAGAAGAATCATCAAAACTATAATCAGGTAAAAAGTCAATATAAAAAAAAAAACAAATTTACTGAAGCCTGAAGATGTCAAGGAGAGGGAATGGAAAAGAAAAGAGTGCGAAAAGAAAGATCATCTGTCTAGATAAATACAATCTTTTGGCAAAAGGATCATAATAGTTATATACCTTTTCTACCTCAACATATAGTAGAAGAAACAAGTAAAAAATTAAAAAAATGTTTCTACAACTACTCCGGCAGTGCATTTCAAAATAGGGACAGATAGGAATTAGTCATCTATAGACGGTGCAGCAGCTAAATTTCAACTTGGCCTAGCCTTTAATACAATGCAACGAAAAATGTTAATCAAGGTTTGAAACATTTCCACACAAAGGTAATACCAATGCTTGCTTTGAAAAATTGCTGTAGTTTTTGAAAGGTTGGTGGTTATTCTGAAAATATTCTAAGAACTGGGTCTGTTTTTCCTAAAAGCAATGGGGTCAACTTTGCAACTTCCAAAAACTCGAGTTAATTTCGTAAGCTCTAGAAACTTTGGGATTGCTTCTAAAATATCTGGAAACTAAAGGATCAACTATACAATTTCAGGAAACATGGGGTTGATTTTGTGTGCTTTCAAAAGTTTAAGGGTGGATCCGGAAATTTCACAAAAAGATGAGTTGAGTAGCTGGATCAGAATTTTTTTAATCTTATACGTTTTGATTAAGATTAGGTCAGGTCAAGAAAACTGGTATCACACAAATCCCAAGCATCCCACAATCCACAATCAAACAACCCTAAACAAGGTGGATACACTCGAATTACTCAAATTCCAAACCACGAATTGTAACCCTAACACGAAATCGACTCGTGATCTTCTAGGAAATCTCAAATTGTAACCCAACCCGAAATTCTAACCCTTACTGGTACTTTATTTAAGTGATTTATATACTTAAATTTGATCCATTATAATTTGAATCAATACTAATACTCAACCATTAACATTTATTGTTCACAACTATCAATTGGTACATTATTTTGGATTATGGTTCGGTTTAGAACTCTTATGACTTGTCACAAGTATAAAATAAATTGTAATTGATCACGTGTGTGGGATGTATAAAGCGAACCGCAACTCCAAATAGTGTATCAACTATATCTACCTACATCGCACCGTGTATCGAAGAAAGTATCATCTTGCGTACTCATAACCATATCACTTCAAATTAACCCACAAGTAACATTGTAACGAATCAACCCAAACCCCACATTGGCAAAGATTTGTTGCAGAGAAGAAGAAATCAAACAGCGACACACAAAAAGCAACAGCAACACCAGCAAGCAACATCGACGTCTAGATTAGTCGATGATGACCACAACTCGAGCAGCGAATCTGGTTTCAAAAGTTCGCACCCCTAGCTTTCCAAATCCAATGGAAGCCCACAACACCAGGCCACAATCGCATGCGTTCTCGCACGACAAACACAGACAACAACAGTGAGGACTCAGGTGGTGACTGTGTATTAATATGAAACTCCAAAAATTTCAGGAGATCTTTGGCAGCGATTGGCAACAATAGCAAAATAATAGCAATGCCAAAATGATTAGCAACAGAATGTATCAAAATTTGGCTGTGATTATGAAACCTAGATCAAACTATAGAAGATAAAGGGAGATAAAAATCTATCAGCAACTCTGCTGTATTCCATAATAGAAAAATAGGCACAATGGACGATATATTAAACACTGACACGACAGAGACTAGACTGTTTGATGCAATCCATAAGATGCTCAAGGAAACACAAATTCGAAGATGTGAAAGATAATGGAATTGACTTTCCATCAAGACAAAGATCCATATGGAACCTTGCATTCTTATTTTAAGTCAATTTGCTAGTATTAATTATTTATATGTCCTTTTAATATTTTTTAGTGTCGGGGGTATTTTTGTAATTTCCAAAATTTCTGCAATAAGTCATATTTTTGGGTCAAATTCTAGTATTGAATATTCTAAAATTTAAAGTCCTAGTTCTAGTAATTTGTAGGGACTTAGTGTTTTTGAAGTTCTAGAGACTTTGAAATCCTAATCTTTTGGGATTAGAATTACTTAGAACTCTATATATAGTTAGTGTTACTTTTAATAATAGAAAAAGAGAGATATTCAGAATTTTGAGCAATTTTATGTTTCTTGAGTTGTGTGATGCAATTCTAATCCTGGGTGCGATACCTACGGAGCCCTAGGAGTGAATCCTAACCAAATTACTGTTTACGCTACTGTTCACAGTCCCCGAACAACCCCTAAACAATCCCTATTTTTTATTTTCCAAAGTTGTCCTACATCACTGTCCCTAGTGAAATAGAATTGTAACACATCTATCAGAAAGCAAGTAAATTAGCTACCATTGACAACTCAAGGTATGACTGTCACAGTGCTTGAAAAAGCAACTTGAAAATCAGCTTGCGGCATAAGCTCCAGCGACTAATTTCAGAAGTCTACCCCAATCAGTTCACAGAGGCACTTAAAGGAACAAAAGAAAACCTCTCAAATTTTAGATTAAAATGTCCTTGCCACATAGCCATATCAACGTACAAAGGCTTGCAAGGTGCCACAAACAGCATTGTTTTCCACACACACACAGCACAGGCTCACACCATCTATACGTACACGCACATACACAATTATTCCAACATAGCATTATATCTAGAGAGAAAATAAAGCAAAATAAGTTCTAAAAACTGCACACAATAAGCAGCATGAAATTGAAAGGAAATTACATATTGTGGCAGTTATAAAGAAATTTATGCAACAAGATTCATGACAAAAAGTACTTGTGATGAAGAGTTTGTCCAAAACCTCTAATAGATTTCCTCTTAACATAGTCAACTTGAAAGGTCCATTTTCCATCCGCAACAAAAAAAAATTTTGATTCAATAAACAAAAGGATTAATTATAATTTGTCCCCTCCAACTATGTTACTTGTTGCAATCAGCTTCATGTGGTTTTAAATGCTGCAATATGCCCCCCTCCAAGTTTCAAATGGACTAAATTCATTGACAGCAGTGGCTGAAACATGAAACTACAATTACACACTCCATCTTATGTATTATTCTCATATTTTTTTCTTAAGATATCAATTCTGTCCATAAAAAATAAGAAACGTCAAGACAATAATACATACGTTCAGCCCACCAACACACTACACAACATGTTTGCCTTCACCTTCACTTCCACACAACACCAACACGTGTGCGCGCACACACAAACACTCTCTTTCAAGGGAAAGGTATGATTTTTCAAAAAAATAAAGATCATGTCTATCATTTTTTATGATCTAAAATAATTATTGGAGTTAATTACAAAATATTTATACTTAGAGGGGGCTATTTGTTCAAAATTGAAACTTAAAAGAGTGAATAAAAAATTACTCAAAATTGAAAGAGACATTTTGTAATTAACCTTAAATAAAACAAGAAGAGTCTGAGAATATTTTTGAAAATAGGTCATTACAGTTGGTAATGGCAGTTATTACATCCCGATTTAACAGAACATTTTTTTTTACACATGTAACGGGTGTGAGCAAAATGAGCTGTAATGGGCTGTAACAGGCTTAGTGGTAGGTAGCATTACTTACAGCCTGTTACGCAGCTGTAGCTGCCGTTACAGTTTCTCCTTTTACCTTGACCGGGCACAATACTCTATGCTTAGAAAGAAGTGTAAGAGAAAGCATGTAACTTGGCAAGTTTTTGGGCATGGTGGAAACAGATTCAATAAGTTACTATATGCCCCATTAAGTTGAGTGGTGTGTGTTGCATTACCAAAGAGTTAGATGAACATAGAAATTACAAGTGTCCTATTTTATTCCACGTGAAGTAGTTGATCCCACAAGGCTACATAATAAGTGATAGGGGTGGGCCCTTTTTCTCCCAAAAAATTTAGGCACCATATATTCGGGCACATTTTCCCCCTCTCATCTAACCATTGATCTTCTGACACATAATCTTTCACATTCAAATTCAATTTTAGATTAACAGTAGGATCTCCAAGCTCAATAAACTGAGTGTACACATTTATATTTTTTTGGGGATTAATTATCCTTCTTGTATAGCCTGCTTTGAACTAATTCACTTATTTAAAAAAATGGTTTAGAGAGAGTGGCTTAAAATAAAAGGAAAAAAGACAGTGAAATTGGCAAAATTTCTAGATGGATTGATTGTTTCCCACTAGTCAGGCCAGCCAGATTCATATTATTACATAGGCAGAAAGCTTTCCAAGTTCACTAATCAGTAGTAGTATGATAAGGAAACATTTATCATGCTACAAACTCTGATACAATCTGCCACATTTATCCAGATATATACACACTTATATTAGGTGACAAGAAAAGGATATCACTATGGCTTTCATCAACAGGCAATCTACCTGAGGTAGCGTGAAGATTGTTTCCCAAGGTGAAGACAGCACACAATAAGATTTGCCAGTGTTTCTGGATCCTTCGCATCCTGCTCAAGTCATCAAAAACTATTGTTATTTTATGCAGAAGTATACAAAAGACAACACAAAAATAAAGGGAGAAGAACCGCAAGAAAAGTATACAGACAACAATTTAGAACATGCCTTGTTTAGTGCTTCAAGTAACAGTGTCTCAGCTTCATCAAAATTTCCCATGTGCATGCAGCAAACAGCCTTCCCATTCAAGATCAAACTAGTCATCTGATACTTCTCAGAGAAATCTTGGAAGATGAGATATGCTTCCTGTATCTTTGAACCACCCTGATCCACAAAAAAAATATATATATATATATATATATACACATACATATATAAGTGAAAAAATGGAGCTCCTCACGTAAAAAGGTAAAAGTGGACAACGTGTGTACCACAGCCAAGTTTAGCCATGCGTTTGCAAGTTGAGTTAGTGTATGGTCCTCATCAATTTGTTGCATGATTCTCAACTGCTTCTCTGCGTAATCTGATCTGTTCATCTTCAGAAAAATTTGCACATTTAATGCATGCCTGCAAAAGCAGAGACATGTCAGAATGTAGAAACAGACAAGGATTGTCAACATGAAATTTATTGTTAGAAGTAAGCAGATCTTTCCATTGTATTTGCAGTTAGAGGTAAAACTCATCATGCACAGTACACATTCTAAACAAGAATTTAGAATCAGCTTCATAATTTCAAATGACTCAAAACGCATCCATGCAGCAATGAGTCATATGCAAACTGCACAAAACAACTAAAAAAATGTACAGCTAATGTAAGCTGTGCTCCACTAATGTAAGGGGGCAATTTCTAGGCAGAAAGCAGACAGTATGAAAGGTCAAAACGTCCATTGCCTAAAAGCCTTACACAGGATCACACCATGCTTCACAAGCTTCAGAATTGTTATACAACTCTTCAAATTCCAGTATCATGTACAAAGACGACCAGTTGTACTCAAAAAAATAACTCGATCAAAAAGGTCACAAGCAGGCAATGGCGGTAACCAAGTGTCACTACCTGCACCAGGAGACAGACAGGTGATACAGAGATAGGCCACTAAGTAATTGCCAGAAAAAAAATTTTAATCACAAAGATCCCCCAGTATTTTGGAGACTACGGACACATTTATTATGATGCTGGCTGACAACTACACAGTCCTTCAAAGAAAATATAGTTACCAAGACTCGAGACTCAGTCAGACGAATTCATTCTAGATCTCAGTTTCAAGCATTTAATACAGATATTCATAACACTCCAAACAACCAACAGGAAATGAATTTTACAATCATTTCATCACACAACATGTTTGATATCTTTTCAAACAGGAGATATTATGTTTCATTTAGAAAGAAAATTTAATGATTATGAATGAGAGGAAAATACAAAAGAGATGACGCAGCAGACATTCTCAAAAAGAAATTAAAAACTCTTTACAAAAGACTGCCAAGAAATAACTCAACTATTCGAAATCGGCCACAAAAATCCTACTTCATCATTATTCTCTATCAAGGGTCATATATTCTATTAACCCACAGGCTACCTTATCTTGTTTTACCATCGTTCAAAGTTAAGTTCGATCTATCTCTACCCATCACCTTTTGTATCGTTGGATGAACTGCATTGCTGATATTGATATTAATAGGTAATGCATCGCTCTTTCTCATTGGAGCAATAGTAGGTCTTCTATAATATGTCCAACCCACCAAAATAGATTCCATATTATATTGCCTTCCACTGGAATTACTTCTACGATTCATTAAGAGAGTCATTCTTGATTCCATCCTTAGTTTTATTACGCATCCAGCTTAACCTTCTCATTTCTGCCATCCTTGGTCAGCCAGCATTTTGCACCATAAGTATTGATAGTATAATGGTTGTCATAAAACTTCCCTTTCAACTTTAGAAGTACACGACAATCACATGACACATCAGATGTAGTTCCCTAATAATTCAATCCTACATTAATTCTATGTTTGTTCCATCAAGGATGTTGTGGGATTGTAGTTACTTACGAGGTGAGTGGAACTATTACTGACTTGATTATATTTGGTTGTCAGTAGCTTGTAGTATACTGTAATGATATCAATGTGTTTATTTTTGCTGACATACCAAATTTGGGGACATGCTTGAAGTTGATATCATTCATGCGAAGTGCTTCAATGCTTTGGTTATGGAGAGGCTGCCTTGCAGCGGTGTGTTTTGGGTGGTTGTGCCTATGATTGACAGGAAATAAACTTTGTTGGTTGTATTTTTCTACTGTGTTGAACTTTGTTTTTTTGTTCAACATAGATTGATACTTGTGACTTGATGTTGTGCCTTTGCATTTTGCTAAAGAGGTTTTGGTGTTTTTCCCCTTTTCTTTGTAAAGCTCTTTCTTTCTATCAATAATAGTTCAACTTATTTACCCAAAAAAGTATCACCTTCAATCTCCCCCTCCTTGTGGATATAACTGACTCTAAATATCGGACATGTTCACACTTTAGTATTTACTGATTTTCAATTATTACTGTCTCACTAACTGAATTTCTACCTTTACTTACACTTATGGTAACTTTCTATGTAATCTCATCCAAGGTTGTCAGTATTATACAATACGTGACGGGCAACGTCTATGAAGCATTGACACTCTTAAAAAGGTGGCATATCAGTGTCGGACACATGTCGAACAACAAAACTTCTCGAACACTTTCATAAACTTGTCCAAAGCTCTTTTATTCATGTCCATAATCAAAAGAAACAATTTCAATTTCGGACACATGTCCGACAACACATCTTTAGGTTGTGTTCACAATTAGAATATAAACATGAATTGACTTGGACTTAATAATGCGTAATAGTTCGACAAAATGACTCTCTTATACTATGAAAAATTTATAATTGTTAAGACTTGTCATGCTATAGTTGCCCTTAAAATTTTACTAGTGCTAAATAAGAGGAATTGAGAAGATGAGATAAATCATTGTAATTATGTATACTTGTTACATATTGTCCACAAAAATCCGATGAGTATTGACTCCTATGATCTTAGTCTAAAAATCCACAATAGTTGACTAGATATTAAAATTTGCTTGTCATAAATTATATAATTTAATATACAATAAATGATTTTGTGTAAAGTGTCACCGACATTTCCGTGTTTTATTTTTTTTGAAAATGCCATGTCCACGTGTCATGTCGTGGTCGTGTCAATATCCATGCTTTTTAGCATAGTACAATACATTTTTGATACAAAACGAAAACGATACAGCTCGATGTATTTCATAAGATGGTTATATCACACAATTCATGCCATATGCTTAAGCTGCTTTTTATATTCTAAACAACTAGAGAATGTTGTGGTCCCTCAGGTTTTTATTTTTGTTTTGGACACCAAGGAAGACAATCGAATGACTCAAACTCTAAGTCGACAAACCTCTCATCCTTCTTCTTCTTGCTCTACTGCCCCCAAATTTATCGTAGAGAGGCAAAGCCAAAACCCTAACACTCTTGCGATCTCTTTCGTGACAACAAAGTCCTAGCTCTCTTTGATAAAAGACCAAGAAGCTCTCTTCTTCCGAAGCATAGACAACACGAGAAAGAGATGGAGACGTTAGGCCTTTGACAGTCCATTCAACATTCTAGTTTCAATGAAACACAACTACAATTTGTTCCTCATTATATTATGAGTAATGCCAATGAAACACAATTACAATTTGTTCCTCATTATAGTATAAGTAATGACCTAATTTATTGACCTGATGATGTAACTTCATTGGAACCACTGGATCAACCCCAAGTTCTAATGTTTGATGTGGCGCACAGTCAATCCAAAGGTCATAAAGAATTAAGTCACAAATTAGGTCAGTAAATTAGGTCCATTGCTCTTATATTATTATGTAATAAAAATGTCTAAAAATGGTTATTGAACCCACACGCACTCATGCACTCATTCTAAAAAATGGGCTAAAGGATCAAATCATGGGGTGAAATTAAAATGTATTCAAAAAAGGAGATCCTTAATGAAGAGCCATTTTAAAAATGAAAAATCATTTGCCAAGAAACCATAAAGATGTGACACCATGCATGACGTTTTTGGATGACATAGTAAGACTTTTTAAGAAAATATTGGCGGTAGGACAAATAAGGTACTAATTATGTAGATGAAGAAGATGACATAGAAGTAATAAAAAAAAATGGTAATGAACCTGTAAAATATAGGCCTCTACCGTCACTTTGGGTATAGTGTTGAAGAAAATAGGATGGTGAAGTATTAGATTTGCACATGATTTATGCAAATCCCCTTCTTTTTAATTTGGTAAAGGATCTCTATTTCAAAAAAAAAATATCAAAATTTGTTGCTTCATTTGGCAAGGTAATGAAACCTCCCATTAGGTGCGATATTTTTTTCCAAAAAAAATAAATAAATAAATGTACTTAATTAATGTCAAGTTATTGAAAAACTATAGGTCGGAAAGGAGCAAAACAAGTTGCAATATTGTGCCTGATGGATGGACCGGTAAAAAACATACATATATCACTAATTTCTAAGTGATAGTCCAAGTGATTCTTAGAAGTATTGATACTTCTGACACTTGAAAGAATGCAAATAATTTTTTTTGAACTTCCGAACCCAATCCTAGAAGAGATTGGTGAAACCAATGTCGATCAGGCTGTAACTGACAATGCATCAGCCTATGTAAAAGTTGGGAAAATGTTAATGCAAAAGAGACCAAAATTGTCCAAGTCCTCTTGTGTTGCGCATTGCTTACTTATTTTGACTCACATTGGGAACATCCCTATCTACAATGATATGATGTCAGAGGCAAGACATTTCACAATTTACATTTTCTTAAACCTCATGACCAAGAACATACTTATAAACAAAACTCACAACGAAGCACATGAAAAGAAGAACATTGATGGGAGCTAGTGTGACAAGATTTGCAACCTCAAATTTGACTTTAAGGAATTTGCATGAAAATAAAATTGGACTTGGGACAACCTATACTTCTGAGAACTAGCAAATAAATCAATAGTCCAAGAAGGGAAATGGCATAAAAGTGATATATACCATACTAGCTAAACAAATTTATGTGGATTGTTGACGGGCATATAAAACCTGCAGTGGGGTACATTTAAGAAGCAAAAGACAAAGCAAAGGAACAAATAGAAAAGAACATTTGTGCAATGGAAAAGCATTATACGCTAACACAAGATGGAACATGCAATTGCACAAACCTCTTCAGGTAAGATTCAAGTTATTATATTTTTTCATCAATTTATATCACCTAGTTCTTCATAATTTATTCAACTACTTGCTAGAGATGTCAACATTCTCCTGATTTTAATGCGGACTATTAGATAAAAATAGGGCTTTACGAGAATATTCAAAGAATACACCCCAATTCCCTTTGAGAGAAAAAGCCAATAGACAATTGGATATCTTTCCCAATGTTAAGAAGATGTTTGGAATGAAAATGGCAATTCAAATTGGGAACAAGAAACTACGTAAAATCATAGAGCATCGCTAGATGTGTAAAATACACAATTGTTTTAGTTAGTTAATGTAGTACCTCACCATTTTCAGATTTTAGTTCGGGCAGTGTTTTCAAAAGCTCGCCTAGGCGAGAAGCGAGGCGAGGCGAGCTTATCTCGCCTGGAGGACCCCAGGTGAAGCGAACGTGAGCGAAGCGAGAAAAAGCGAAAAAGCGAAAAAGCGAACGCTTTATTATAAAAAGCGATTCTGCTTCACTTTTTTTTTTTTTTTTTTTTCTGATTACAAGTTAGTAGTCTCTTTTATTTTTTAATCACTAATGACTTTTTTTTTAGACTATTGCTGGTCTATTTTTTTTTTTTTCTAATAAACAATGTTTCGAACAAAACACATTCCTTTTTTTTCCTTGTGTTGCTGAATTCATTTAGAATATTTGTGGAATGTGGGAGTCAGACGACTGCACTGCATGACAATTATGATAAAAAAAGAAAGCAGCAGTATCAGAAATGGGGGTAAATAATAGATTCTTCTACAAAGAAGTGTCTCTGATATGTCTTAGTTATACTTTTTCCTTTTCTTATATATATACAAATGGTACCAAAAAGTGGTCTATGCTTATACCATGTTTAATTATTTTAGTACATGTGAAATGTGCCTCTGTTCTGCTTTTTTTTATTCAATATATAATTACATATGAAATTGTATACAATTGATTCTGCTCCTGTCATGATCATTGTGCTTCTGTTTTTTTTTTTAACTCATTCTGCTTCTATTTTTTTTTGTTGATTCTGTTGTTGCTTCGGTTTTGCTGTCCTGTGTTGCTTTTATTTTTTTTTATCCTCATTCTACTTCTTTTTTTTTTGTTGCTAATTCTGCTGTTGTCCTGATTCTGCTTCTTTTGTTGTCCTACCCTGTCAATATGAAAATGTATACAATTGTTAGTATTTGTTTGAATTTAAATGTTTAAGTTATGACTGTTATTAAGATTTGAGATATTATTAGTATTTTTTTTAATTTAAATGTTTATGGTTTTACTTGCATTTAAATATTTAGTATATATAAAATTAGAATTTAAATTGTTTAGAAGTAATTAAACTAAAATATATATTTTTTTTAACTGTTCGCTTTGCTTTGGTAAAGAGGCGTTAAGAGCCTTGGTCGCTTCGGTTCGCTTTACGCCTTAAATAACACTGAGTTCGGACAATGAGATAAAAATAGGGCTCTCGAGACTATTCAAACAATATGCCCCAATTCCATTTCGAGAGAAAAAATGGATATACAATTGGACATATTTCCTAATGCTCAGAAGATGCTTGGAATAGACATGGCAATCCAGATGGGGAATAAGAAACAAAGAAAAATCATTTAGCAGTAGTGGGATTTGTAAAATGCACAATGGTTTAAGACTTTTAAGTTAGTTAATGCAATACCCCACCAGTAATTTTGATAGCCTGGTGGTAATCATTTGGAGGAGGTTGTCCGGAATAGCAACGAGTTATCATTCGCATCCTTCACTAGGCACATAATGTTATGGGATGTCATAAATTGGAGCACATTGGACCAGGTATGACACGAGAGGTATCGTGTGTTAATTTATTGTTTTACCTAGATATTGATTTTAGGTCCATCAAATAGGTGTGTCTAAAGGATGAATCAATTGGAACTACAAAGATCAAGTGCACTTGTGTTTTAAAGTATCATCTTCGACTTGAAATAAGGCATCCGGTGATGAGTGAGTCACCGTGAAAGAAGGCGTGGTACTAGTTGAGAACATTACATGGACGAATGTTAATGAATGTTTTGATATTTAAGAAAAACAAAAGTAGAAAAAAGAGAGAGAGGTAGATACCCCATATATTCTATATATTAGTTTTTGTTATCTCACTCCATTATTCAAACATTTTCTATAATTTAAGCCGCCTCTTTTGTAGGGGCTAGAAATCTTTCCTCAATCAAGAAAAGAAGAATGCAAGTAGGTGAAGTTGAAGATGAGGATAAGGATGACACATAAAAGAAAGTAGAGAGGATGGAGGACATTAATACCTATTGGCATCCAATGACAATGATAATAGTGCCATTGTATTTGAAATTGGAAAAACTTGAATGAAAATGGAATACATTGGATTATAAGAATAAATTATTTTGGATACTTGGTTTTAAAATTCAACTCTGAGTTTAATATATAGAATAATGGTCTGTGAATCTCATATTGAAATCCTACAAATAACCTAGTATAGGTTGATGCTCTTGAAAACCTCTAGGGTAATTATGTCATATCCACCCAAAGTGCTTGCCTACTCAATCACAAAAATATCCTCCTAGACCCTCATCCAGTCACCTAAATGTGGCCTAAAAGGATTTGCACCAGTTGACCAGTTTCATTTAGTTTTGCACAAATTTTTATGATTTTTCACATGCTAAAGTTCCAAATTACCTATTCCTATATCTGTCAACATATGCCCACTTATATATCTCTTTTTTTGTGTGTGTGTGTGTGTGTGTGAAAATTTCTTCACAACATAGCAATTGCCAATGAGAAGATAGTGGTGTGAAAAGACACCAAAAGAACTCCTTGCGAAACACAAATGACTTGGACCATTCAAAAGGACCATAAGAAAAAGGAAAAAAAATAATGTAGATGAGATGACCAAAAGACAAATCGTTAAAAAGAAGCCTTAGATAGAGCGCACTCAAAGCCTAGTAGGAAAAATAAAAAGATCTTCTATGCAAGACTTTTAACCCAAAAGAGAAAACTTTACAAAGCCAACCAAAAATCAAGGTGAGAGGTCAATTAGGTAAAAGGACCCCACTAGGGCCATTGTAACACCGAAATATTAAGGAATATAATAATTGATACCATAAGTTAAGGACAAAAGCCAATTGAAAAGCATACACAATTTCTCTAGGAATAAGAAAGAAAAAATAATTTAGAAAAAAACGTCATGTTAAGCATGTTAAAGGCAATTTTAGAGTTGTAGTACCCACTAATCAAGACATTAAGCACCGCTATACGAATTAATTGTTTTACGAAAAGGCTAAATAAAAAATATAAAAAAAAAAGCTGGTCACTAAAAGATTTAGCTTGTTTAGTGCAGCTGAAAAGTATATTACGAAAATACATTAAGTGCCAAACCTATGAAACATAAAATACCAAATACTTCAAATCCTGGTGCTATTCCTATTAAGACTAGGGAGCATTTATAATTGGCATGGGAAAGAGTGTTTAGATGTAACTGCGGTTAAGATCACAAAAGCAGAGTATGTCACAACAATAGAAGGAGGAAAAAAGCAATCTAATCAGCATTGATACTGGTGCTAATCAGATGTTGCACAAGTTCAAAAAGGAGGAAGAAATTTTGAATGCTTTCATATCCATACCTTGATGAAAAAGGATATTTTTAGTGTGTCGACTCTGTCGAGAACTGATGAAAAGGCCAAAATTCCACAATTTCAGCGTAAACACAAATAGTAACACTTTTAACACGGTTCATAGAAAGTTCTCATTGGTTTCACTGAAGAGATGCCTACCAGATTTCCAATATAATCGACACAGGCATAATGAATCCTAAACTGGAGTGAAAAAATGGAACGGAAGACAACTAAAACGCCAATAGCTAAACAATAAAAGGGAGAATAAAAAGAAGATCAAGAAAGAGAATTGTTTGCAATAAACATAGGCTTAGTGGAAAAGACTATCCAAGGAAAGCTCTGAGAGACAAATATTAATAGAACGACAATGCTATAGAATCAAAAGGTTCTGACAACATCAACCGTTGAGTGAAATGCTTGTAAGATACAGCAAAATAGTAAAACATACAATTACAAATTTGCGACTGATTATAATCAAAGAGTAAAAGAAAGTTGTCACTCCCAAGGTGGAAGATACTATTAATTCAAGAAGCATATAAGCTATGTAATTCTGAATTCAAAACAAGCCATCAAACATCCAATGACTTAAAAGTTAAAACAATAGAAACAATAAAATAAAATAAAATAAACTCAGACAGTATCCCTAACGAGCATCTTGCATCACTACAAATACTTTTTGAAAAAAAGGATCAGGAAGACATCAATGCATTATCTAATATGACTAGAAAATTTGGTTAAATTGAAAATTAATATTGAAAGAATATTGGTACTCAAAGTCAAGGAGTATAGTAAGACTTACAGCTCCATAGTTCCCCCCGCGTTGGTATGTTTCAGAGCTTCATTATAGTCCTGCTCATGCATGAACATGATCCCAGCAATAAGCCGTAAGATTGGGTTGTTTCCAACAGCTGGATCTCCCAACCACTCATGGATACCAGAGATCGTTGTTTCCTATATAGTTAGGAAGCAAACATCATTACTGAGCCCAAAACTGACCCCATAAAACCTCCATTTTGCTACTATAACTCTAGAGAAAAACAAAATCATTCAAGTTAATTTCATAAACTTTTGTCATTCCAAAAACCAAATCTCACCTTAGTCAAATTCTGACTGATTTATTATGATCCATACTTTGCTGTTTCCCAATTATAACTCAATCCCCCCCCCCTCAAAAAAAAAAAGTTCGCGTGTACACAGATGGGACTATCCTAGGCAGGAGTTGAACTCCTCACCAAGTTCAGTGAGATAAGATCATATTTAGTTTTCCAAACAATACCAAAGATTCATTGTGATCAACTAGATTAGGGCAGCTCAACGCAAAAGCGTTTGAAGAGTCCTAGGTGTTCTAGAAATGTTGAAAAAAAAACATGGTATTTAAACACATTGGAGAAGCAGTTTTTGAAAAGTCTTCCAAATATTATCCAATCAACCAATGTAGTCAAAATGTCAAATAACAAACCCATAACACATTAAGTATTATCAAAAACCTCATAGTGCCATAGTGGAAGACCTTTCCCATTCTAAATATAGTGTTGGGCAGCATAGAACTCAAATCTTTTTTATCAGAATTTGGGGAAAGCTGAAATTTGAAGTAAGCCTTTCTTTATTTGGCAGCATGGAACTGAGATCTTAGAATTAGAATTGAAGAATAATTACTGTCAAATTGTTGCAATAATTGTCCACAGCCTGAATTGTAATACAAACTGATATTGTGATTAAAAACCATAATGGTGTGTGAAGAGTTCAACAATTGTCTGGATGGTACGACAACATGATCTTAGCTAAACTAATCGTATGGTTCTCCCCGAAATAGGCTTTCTTTTGTTTTTTAGGAGATTTTTAGGACACTCAATTTTTTTTTAAAGACATGTTTTATAGTTCCAAGGAAGGGTCACTATTATTTGCAAAGCCTGAAGTCCACAATCCAAAATGCATTGCAATTCTGGAATTGGAGCCTTTTCAGTACGAGACTCCCCCACTTGTGTCAATACTAGACTGCGCACTGAATTGGAACCTACCTGAATACCTTGGATCCAAACTAAATCCCAAATCTAATTCACATCCATACTAATGACTAAAAGAAAATCCATTTCAAAAAACAGTACAATAAACCTCAGATCTCAATTCAAATCCCCAATTTACAGGATTCAAACCAAAATTTGACAGCAAAAATCCTTCCCAATCGTCAAATGAATTAAATGACAACATTGGCAAACAACGGAAAACCTACCTTATTCTCCGGATTCGAAAGGTACAAAGCCAGCAGTTTCACGGCTTGAAGCGGCGTCGCAGCTGATGAATCGATCTCATTGATCACAAGCTATACACAAAACACAGATCCAACCAAAAATTAAAAATCAATTTCCCTTCAAAACAAAAAAATGAAAGAGAGAAAGCGCTTGTTCGGTAGCCACCTGATAGCTGCCGAGGGCAATGTAAGATCTGTAAACGAGAGAATCCCTCTCGATGACGTCCTCCGGAGAGAGATTTGGGACGTCGCTGTTGTTGATTGCCGCTTGATATGCCCCCAAGTAGAAATTGTTCCGAAGCCCAAACAGCAAATCTGGTGCTGCCATCGCTACTTCACACGCAAACAAGAGAGAGAGAGAGGAATGTGATTTATGGAGGACTTCCGAAAATGTGTTTTTATTTGGCTATTTTAAAAGGGTGACATTTCCGCAGGTACACAAAGCCGAAAATATAATTTTTTTAAAGGGTTAAATTAAATTTGATCCAAAAAAAAAGGGTTAAATAAAAGAAAAAAAAGCTATTTTTTATTTTTGCTTTGTAAAAAAAAAGATGAAAATAAAGGCCAAAACCCAGAGGCCTCTAGTGGGATCATGTGCCACTAACCACACCCCTCTCAAAAACAAACATACCTAATCTAGAGTTATGTATATACATATAAAATAATAATAATAATAATGGATAAAACGGGGTGAAATGGAGTAGGGCGAGGTGGGGTAAGAGTCAATTCATCTCCTCACATGTTTATACGGGTATTTTCGTATATATTTATCATTCAATACATATGATCTATTCCGATTCAAACGAAGCAGATTTGGACGAATACTTATTTTTACCTGATCCATTGGCATCCCTAATCATAAGTCCCTAACACAAACTTTTTATTATTATTATTATTTTTTATTTTTTGGAGAGTGGAGGAGGCTAATACAAAGCTAGAGGTCAACCATTGAGCTCAATATTGACTCTAAGATTTGAATGCGTAACTTCGCTGTGAAAAATTCCACAAATAAACCATTGAACCACCTCGCTCGTGATTCAAAGATTTAAACAGTTATACATCTATAATTCATTTAACACGAGAATTTAATATCTCTTGTAATGTCTTGCATTAAAAGGTGATTCAGTCTATCAAATTACAAATGTTTGAGAGATTTGAATAATGAAACGGTAGGTAAGTCTGTTACATCCTCTGACATTATTATATGCTTTGATATCATCATTCTGTGTGGTTAAAGAGGCTTGCAATGATGTCAATATACATGAATTTAGATTTCTTAGTATGGTTAATGGATACAAGCCTCTTTAAATTCATAAATATGTCTCATATAATTTGATATCTCCAAGAGATATCGAAAATTTGATTGGCAATTGGTTCGTTGAATAAAATTAAATTAGATAAATAATTTCACCCAACATAATTCGTCAAAATAAGAGGAAGGGTTGGGTTGGGTTACTTTTAACTATTTCACCCAATATACTATTTGTTTTGCACAAGACAAGAAAGTATCCGTTTAGCAATGGTAATAATAACATATGATTTAGTTGTAATAAAACGATAACAGAGACAGTGATGCCGCCACGATCATTGTATTGGCATCACCGAAGGTTGTGACGATGTTGACGGTAATAAATTGCGGTGGTGGTTTTGGCGTTGACATATGTGATGGTGGTGTTAGTAAACTACATTTATCATGATGAGGTGGTAGAAGAGCTCTCATGCATTTTGCAAAAATAACAGAGGGATTTTGTTTGTAAAAAAGTATGTCATGTTGTTCTTTTGGAAGGAGTTTTTTTTATATTTTTGCAAAATGAAGGATTTTTCGATCTTGGGCATATCATATACCAGAATTTTGTGAAATTGCTATTTGTTTCCCTTTTTGAAGTAAGCATTAACCCTTTGTTCAAAAAAAAAAAAGTAAGCACAAACCCATACACTTAGTTGGGTAAGTTTTGACTTTGCTGTGGTTAGAACAGAAGTAGAAAGAAGAGGAAGAAAACAATACATACAACCAAGTGAACTTGACAGAAACTACGTGTCTACCACAGCCATTTTCATTGGTGAAGAATTTGACAGAAACTACGCAGTTTATGTCATTACATAAAAACAAATGACAGAAACTACGCCGTTTTCATTGACTGAAGAAACTCCACAAGAATACAAGAAGAAACTCATTCAGATATATCAATGAAACAGGATTTTACAGAACATAGCAATTTTCTGCTCAAAAATTACAGAGTAATGCAGAAAACAAGTAACAAAATAACCTTTTATTCAAGAAGAATAGCAGGGATGATCAGCTAAAAACCCCATGTACATGCCCATCTGAAACTCATATTTCCCCTCATCTAATGTTGCTTAGACTATCTTCGCAGAACAAACCCATCAACGAGCAAGCGGGTTTCTATTAATTTTGAATGCAAAAACAGCACAAACAATCGAGAAAAAAATCGGAAACTCAGTGCACAAGCATGCTGCGTCAGACCTCCGGCCACCTATAATTTCCCCGGTGGGAAAAAATGGAGGAACCACCGGTTGTGGCGGTGCAGGGACCTGAATTGGGTCAGGTGGTGCGAAGAAGTCACCGCCGTAGACAGTGTAATCAAGAATGGCGCCAATGCCGTGGACCGCCATGGCTGAGTTTAGGTAGATATCTGGGTGACTGACGATAGAGTCGTCAATGGTGAAGTTGGAGAGAGAATTGTTGGTGATGAGGATGGTTTTGGAGGGTAAGAGAGTGGGGAGGCGAGTGCTGGTCTTGAAGAGTTGGAGGTCAGAGAAAGAGAGGCGTTGGGGGACTATGTGATACGGTATGAGGAATGCTTCGAAGTTTTCCATGCCGGTGGCGGTGTCGGTGGGGAGGTGAGAGAGGGCTTCGTTGCCGGGGATGAAGAGGGTGGAGGAGAGAGGGAGGGTTGATGGATCGGTGGAGGAGAGAATATTGGCCCAACCCGCAAAGTCGCCCGCTCCGATTAGTGCATCGATTATGTTGTTGAGTTGCTGTGCTTGGAGCTCTGCCGGCGGCGGCGGCGGTGGTGATGGAAACATAATGGCTGGTGGAGAGAGCGGTGGTGGCTCGGTGATTGTAGGAGAGGGAGGAGGTGATGTAGTGATGGGTGGAGAGGGTATTGTTGGTGGTGGTGTTGGGATGGTAGGCGTAGATCGGGGCTCAGGTGGTGGTGAGAGGTTAGTAGGTGGTGGGAGTGAGAGTGGAGTTGGCTGTGGTGAAGAAGCCGGTAGAGGAGACTCTGTGGTTGAGATGAGGCGGAGGTTGGTGATGGTGAGTGCCATCAGGAGGAGGTGGTAGAGAGAGAAATTGTTTGCCATGATAGAGAGAGAAAGAGAGAGACAGAACAGTTGATTGATTTCTTGATGTCTTTCTATCAATTAATAGTTCAAGAGCTCAGCGAGTGTGTGTGTGTATGTGCGCGCATGAGAGAGAGAGAAAGAAAGATTGGTTTCTGGAATTCTTGCATTTTCTTGTTATTTTGCGATTGAAGATCATGCGGAGGCCGATGAAGTGAATGAACTGAGTCTAACAAACCAGTAACAGAATTGTCCCGCCAAAATATGGAGGAGGGGGACTTGAAAGTAATTAAGGGAATATTGCAGTGGTATTCTTGGGATTAGGAAGTGAGAAGCCTCCCTCAGGATGCAAACAAGTTTTCAAGAGACATCCTCATGTGCTATTATAGCTAGTGACCTCCTTCATATGCTTCACAATATCTTCTCTGATTTAAATTTACTTCAATATTTTTTTTAAACTTACAAAGTAATAGATCATTTGTCACGGCTGAATTAATAATTTATTTATAAATAGTGGATTCTACTTCAATTAATAGTATATTCCGAGAGTTTGAAAGAAAAAATATTATACGGAATTTTAATCTTTTTTTCCTCTTATTCGCCTACATTATCAGAGTTTTTGCAAAAATGAGTGTTGTTTAGGTTCAATGGTAAATAAAATGAATAAGGTTGTTATTAATTAGGAGGAAGTGTTACACTTTCAAACTAAGGAATTTGGAGCTCAAGTCATGGATAGAAACAACTTGGAGCTGAAATTTGATACATACAAGAACCATATCTATGTTATATCCTTGCATACCACCCATGTAGAGATCTAACTTCTCATATTTTCAACTTCAATCAAGAGTTCATACTTCTTAAATTTATCATACCTTATATATTCCAATTAGATCCACTACACTTAGTGGTTGATGATTTAATTTGACAAAAATCAAAATTGAGACAATCTAAAACTTATTTGTCGTCCATGCCAAAAATGGCAAATGAGAATGATAAACAACTCTCAGGCCGGGCCAACCTCTAGGCAACTAAGTTGTTTGTTTAGGGCCTCAAATTTTAGAGGGCCTCTACAATATTTATCCATTTAGTATAGTAGGCCTAATTTTTTTTTTATATTTTAAATATGATTAAAATTTTAGGGCCCAAATTTTATTAGTTCAAATCAGTATCTAATTTTATCAGGTCCAAAATTAATCTCTACTTGTTTAAACCTAAATTTTAGAGACCTCCATAAAATTTACCACTTTAGTATAATAATCTTTTTTATTTTTATTTTTTTGTATTTTAGATATGATTCAAATTTTTAGGGCACCAATTTTAATAGTTCAAATCAATAACTAATTTTTTTGGGTCCAAAATTACTCTTTCATGTGAGCTTTGATTTAAAATTTTCTAAATATTTTGGGTGTGTTCATAGTTGTATTTCACTCACTCACATAAAAAATTTATATTCATTATTTCTTATGGTGAAAATCTATAAAATTGGTTTTTTTTTTGTCTTAATATAAATTTTCGATCCAAATAATTCATACTTAAATTGTCTATGTTATTAAAGTTTTGTACTTCATGCGTGCACATTATGCATGGGTAAAGAATGTGAAGGGAATGACCTTCATTATTACACGTGTTATGGTATTAAATGAGCCCACGTGAGGTTGACAAGACAAGTCACGAGATGGAGAATCCTTGATTAAGTCTTTTAACCAAGCCGAGCTAACAAGAGGTTCGGTAAACAAAGAAGAAGTTTGGTTCCCTTTAAGACCGAGTTCATCAATCTGTACAGAAAGAGCTCAGCTTGTATTAAGCAAGTTTATTAAAGTGTTCAGGAAGGCGATTGAAGAGAATGGTTTGTTCCAAAACAAGTCCCTAAAATTGTTCAGCAAATGTCAAATGTGCTCGACGTTCGATATGTTCGAGCTGTTCAAAACAATAGATGGAAAGATAAAGATTCGCCTATAAATTAGGCAATTGGATAAACGAATCAACGAAATTATAAATGTCATGAGGACTTATTGGAGAAAT